GTAGGTTTCCGGGCAAATAAAAGTTATTTTTACTCGAGAAAAACAAAACTAGTAAACTAAAAAATTGGACACGATAACACATTCTGGCTAATAACTCAGCGATAGAACCAACTTTCAACTGAATTCAGCAAGTGTCTTGTTGCCAGAACGTCACCAAAATCACCACAAATCTCTCACAGCAAGGCTGGTAAAAACGCCTTGATATGAACCTAGATCAACAGTTGCCCAGGTTGCCAGCCGGTCATGTTACCATGATCCAGGTCCTTGCGAGAAAAATATTTTCACAGCAAATTGGTAATGAACGCGTCTATAAATGATTTATCATTTACCGTACAGAATTTTGACTAAAATATTTTGACTTTCCTCTCATTTAGTCAGATGTTGAAGTGCTTTAGATTTGGAGCTTTATTGGCATCATTCAGATGGGTATTCAAAATTTTAACGATAAGGTTTGTAAACAACTTGTGCCGAATACTTGTTTTACATTCCTTGCTTTCGGTTAAAAGACAGTTTGTCGTTCTTGATATTGCAAGCCTTATTAGAAGAGGTAAAGATGTCGGATAATTCACGATCAATGAAACTTTAACCAATTTGTAGATAAAACAAAGCGCAATTTTTAATAAACGAAGTTTTCTGCTATCAAGATCTAGTTTTTAGAATCTTTTTTCATAGAAATAAAAATTTTTTGGAATTGAGGAATTTTTTTAGTGCAGCGTTGTAAACATTTTTGAGTTTGCTTAAGTTTCTTTTGGATAAGGAGCTGTAGTACACGGCAGATTCATACTCAAAGATAGGCAAAATACAAATTTTATAGAGAAAGATAAGAAAACTTGTTTGCATGAAGTAAAAATTTCTGAAAATACAGTTTTAAAATACGTGTCGTTTATCAGATTATAGCTGCACGGTGTCGACCAAAGAAGAAATTATCATTTAGATCTCAAGGTTTTAAACGACTCACGTTTTCTTTAAGTGGAATCCATCAACATCATATCTAGGACTGTCAAATACCTGATTTAATTTAAGCACGTGATATTTTGGTAAAGATAGTGATAACTGCATTTATTGAGCTCATTTGAAAACCTTTGATAGGTCAGCATTTTCCTTGTTAACGAATGCTTTTCTGATGTGAATTTACTGTTTTTTTTTTTAATTCCTCTTCCATTGAATTTGGTTAATACATTGTATGTGAGAACGTTAACAAAGTTTTCATTTTTAGATAATCTTATTTTTTTATATTCAGGTATTGTTAAAAAGTGCTAAAAATTTTGTTTTAAAAATCAGTAACTTCAGAAGGTGAGTATAGATGTAAATTTATGAGCAGTTCTGGATTGATCATGATTTACTAGTAGATTAGTTGTTAGTTACTTTCAAACTTTTGTATATTTTATACTTTTAGGTTTTAATTAAATCTCTGGATGTTGCTATTACTGAAAAATTAAAGAAATAATATAGACTCGGGTTGGTGAAGAAAACACAAACCCCCGGAAGAGATATATGTGATTCCTTCTAGAACAAATTTTTTATTATACCAACAATCATTAACAACGACCTTATTTCTAGATCAAATTAGCATTTTCTTGACTAGTCTCTGTGTTAAAAAGGTTGCACAAGTGTTACACTCCTTATTCTCTGATTACTGGTTGTTCAGCCTAGATTTAGTTTTTGCTTAATGTATTCGTCTTGTATTGCTCAGTGAATGCAAGATTTAATGAGATGCCAACACTATTTTTTTTACAAACAAGTGGCAGTTATGATGGTATCAAATGAAAAAAATGAAGTCAAGATTTGTATGACAGGTAAAATCTTTAGTAGCATCATTAGCAACTGGAAAAATATCAGTTACCAGCCTAAAATTTAAAAAGGAAGAAATTGATTAGGGACAAACAAAATAAAAAAATTTAGAGAAAAATTCCACATTTGCTGAAACTGGAGTTATTAACAAAAAAAGTAACTTTTAATTTGAACACATTTTCTGAGTTCATGTGCCCAATATTTCTCAAAAAGCTGTTGTTACCTGCGTGACCTCAAAAGTACCTTAGAACTCCTCGGTATACTTTCCAACGCACTGCGTCATAGTGGTCATTATTTGCTTAATTTCAATTAAGATGCATTTTTCAACTAGCCACCGTCACTTTCCACTGCGGAGGTAACTAACTCTTGTACCTAAACCAAGCACTGTGTCAACCACTATATAACTAGTTAAAATACCATTACAACCGCAATCGTTTTTGTCGTTTTTCTCTTAATCTTCACTGCTGTTCTTTTTTGAGTTCTTTTTCTTATCTAACGGTTGTTATTTGCTTACTGCTAGATTTGTCGCAGCCAAAACTAAAACATATGATTAGCGACTATCTAAGCAGCAACGGCTATATTTCTGACTATTATGAATCCTAAACATCTCCGCTTTAACTACAGTATCTTTAAATAGTCTGAGACGCACGTTATTGGTTTTCGTTCGACATTATTAGTAGTTAGACTAACCTACACTTCTACAAGATCTATGACAGCAAATATACTTGACATACATTGAAACATGATTTTTATCAACCAAATATCGCAGAAGTCATAGTACTAACTGCTATGTTCTTTACCTAAACTCTTTGTTAAAATTGCATCTACTGCTTATGCAAGAAGTCGTTAACATTTCCAGTGATTTCAAGAGTTCCTTTATTGTTGACCACCTGCGACGTTTGTACTAAAACTGAATGTGTGCTAACTGATTGCACAACCTAATCTCATCGGAGCACATTTCAAATACTATACCCTATGTTCAAAAAGTAAAGCATAAGAGCGGCAGGCAATTAAATAATAAACAGCAACACTTTAAAAACCAGGTCATTTATATTTGATTAGTACATTTTGCAAAACCTATTAACTAACTCATTCCTCTAGATGAGAAAAGAAAATATGCAAGTACATTCTAAATAATATAAGACGAATAATAGGCAACTGGAGTAGAATAGTTTAAAACTAAAATTTTTGGAAAAGAAAGAAGAAGAGATACTTGACAGATTAAGCGTATTCACACGATTATACAAATCTTCAAAGGTTATATAGTTTTAGTTTTATAAAATACAGTGCTACATAGAAAATATCAATCTGATTAATATATTGATCCTTTTCTCAACAGCAAAAAATATTTAAAATGCTCAAACAATTCATAAACAGCCAAAAATTTATGGCAATCGTAAAAACACGAAAAATACAATCATAAGCTGTAAATAAGAAATGAAAATAATTATAAACGCAAAGTTGATCAGTTACAGAAGAAACCTAAAAAGGCACATTTCTTCTTTGAACTGATGTTTTTAGTTTGCAGTTCAACCTTCTTTACTGCCAATTCGTGCAAAATCGAGTGAATTTTTTGTACAGTAGCGGTATTGCTGTCATAGTAATCCGCGACTCCTTTCAACTTTTCCGCGACGTTATTAGCAAAAGTTCGTAAGCTATCCAAATTTATAATCTCTGCTGAATTTTCGGCCAGTCTTGAAACGTCTAAAAACAGTCCTTCAATGTTATGTAATCGTTTACGCCCCTCTGTCAACATTATCCACTGTTCAATGGCTTTTGCTATATTAGTTTCTTTTTCGGTTTCATAGACCTCTATTTTTGCTCGTATTCCATTACTCTTCGCTTCAATTTCCTCTATTTCTAATGCTTTTTTTGATACATCATCCTTTATCTAAACAAAAAATAAAACAAATATAAAAAAGAAAATGACAGGGAAGAAAAAATTTACTAAATATTCTAGAACACAATGCTTTATTTGATGTACAACTACAAAACTACCGACTGCGATTCGTTATACAGCTGTTGCAAATCACTCCTGGGTAACCACCACACCTTTTCATTAATCTCACTCAATTCGTTTTCTATAGCTTTAAGAGCCTCTGTAACCTATAAAAAAAGACATTTGCAAACTATTGTAAAAAGTTTGGATAGGAGAAGCTACGGTACGTTATGTCAAGTAACAAACAGACTTACATTTTTGCTATCCTGCTCAAACCGCTCTTCTAGGTTTTCGCTGATAGAAACGTTTTCCTTCTTCAACTCTTGGCAAATACTGCATATATTCTGGAAATTTCCTCAATATAATGATG